TTCCGACAGACAGACAGACATATCGAAACTATAAGGGTTCCTTGTCAGGACTACGGAACCCTAAAAAATTACATTACATACGTATGAAAATATTATGTATTCGTAGTTAAAGTAACCAATAGTCAAATTCGACAGATGTCAAATGACAAGTGGTTAAATAACAGAAAAAAATGTTTTTATAACAATGTTTAACTTGACTTTTAGTACATTTTTTAACTATTAATTTACATTTTATTAATATTTAACCATTAGTAGTAAAATTTAACAATTAGCTATTTTAACTATGAATCAAAAAACTGGTCCTAGGTTGAAGCAATTGCTTGTCTTAGGTACTAAACGACGGGAAGCTATTATTTCATATAAATCTAATAGACTCGAAGCGTAGACATTGCAAAATAGGCATTTTATTAAATATCACGTGAGATTAGGGGGGTGGGGGAGGGGGTCAGGAAAAATCTCACCAAATCTCACCAAGGGGGGCGGGGGGGTTGAAAAATGGCCAAAATTGTCTCACGTAATTTATGGACGCCCCCATACCTGCTCAGATGAAAAGATGATGACACAACTAAGTGACTGTTACTGAGATTCATTTATAATTATAATATTATGCTAAACAACCCTGGGTTGTGAAGTCAATGTTGTGCTTGTAGATGAAAACTGTATAGGTAAGGACTTATTTCATGGCAACCACGGGCCGGACGACATAGTGTGGGCAGGCCCTATCTACTGGTGGACCGACGATCTGGTGAAGGTCGCGGGAGGTGCCTGGATGCGGGCTGCGCAGAACCGGTCGTTTTGGAAATCCTTGGGGGAGGCCTTTGTCCAGCAGTGGACGTCTCTTTAGCTGAAACGACGACGACTTATTTCATATTATCACGTAATAAGTAGGTAGGTATTACGTACTACAGGTTTCATGCCCAACCATTAGAACAATGAATAGGTACTTAAGCAGAGTAGAGGGCACTCGGTCCTTGATAGTTGCGTACAGTTAGCGTCATAAGTTCGTGACACCCAAAGTAGCCAAAAAGTTCGCAACACGTCTTTATTACATAGGAATAAGGATTGTGTTATCAACTTTAGGAAATACGAACTATTTAACGCTGACTGTACACAATTAACTTATTTACCTGGAGGTTCTATACCTACTTGTATTTCCCGCGTCACCGCGTTTTTTACTTGTTTGTATTGCAAAGGAATGGGTAATTTTGAAAGTGAAGTGACTAATGTAGAATATGCAAATTACGCGTAAGTTTAACAACGATCACCAATTAACGCCTAAAAGCACTTATTTACGAATGCTATTTATAAAACTTACAAAATACGTGTTTTAAACTCTATTGTTAAGCTATAGGTCTAGCGCTTAAGGCCTCAGCCTCGAACTTAGCGGGCAGCGGGGCGGCGGCGGCGGCGGCGCGGGAGCGGCAGGATCTTATGCGTAAAATCAAATAGACCGGTTCTCGAAAACAGCGGCGCGGCAGCGGGGCGGCAGCGGGCAACGAGCGGGCAGCGGCGAGGGAGCGGGCAACGAGCGGGCAGCGCACTCCTTCTTTTGCCCACAATAAATCGAGCGTTAGGAATAAATTTGAATCGAAATAAAATTGTCGACGTTGTTCAGACATTTCGTTTGCGAATAAAAACAAATATCTCGACAACACAACCCCGAACACAACACTTCGCCGCTAAAGCGCCGCGCGAGCTGCCCGCTTGTTTCGAGAACGGGTCTGCGTTGCCCGCCCCGCCCCCGCGCCGCCGCCGCTCCCGCCCCGCTGCCCGCTAAACTCGAGGCTGAGGCCTAACTCAGCCAGTGCCCTTGGCCAGTGCCTGAGGTATGGGAGCGGCACGTGACGTGATTTTGACATAATATTTTGACGTTACAAATAACATTATTGCACTTCAATTTTAGAACGTAAGGGAGCGATCTTAATCTCGATCAAATCAAAAATAATTTTCATCGTCTACAACAGGTCCCCTAGCTAGACAAACAACAAACGTGTTCACAAAGATTCACTTTAGCTATCCTGGCTTGAAGAATTTCAAAATGCTTTAACACTCGACTGTGTTTACAGATCTTCCGTCCCCCTCAAACTGACATAGATGTCGTGAATGCCAGATTCCGGAATGGCGATCCAGTCTACAAGCACCCCATGATACCAGGATATGAAGGTACTTCGTAGTTCGTACACCCTTCACTTTTATTGCAGATTTCTTTTTATTCACAACGAAGAAGTTCTTGGCCCGCATCTCCGGATGGAAAGTAGTGATTAGGCCGAAGGTGGATGCAAACTTCACCCGGAATCCTCAACCATAGAGGAACTGGCTTATTAACTCCAACTGCAGGAACACAACGATGCTGTTAACATTGATGTGACGACAGACCTAACTGACTGTACCACCAACCGAGTAGAAAATTATGCACCCATTGGAATCAAACCCGGGACCTTTAGATCTGATTTTTTTCAGGATGATGAGCAGGTAGTCTTATCATAAGACCACAGAGGCGGTTAGAGACCACAACGCCAGTGGTCGAATATGTTCTCTCTGCTAGAAACTGTATCTACTCTAAAAATAGACCTTAGACTTGTCAACGATAAACACCTAATCGATCAACGGTCTGTGTAGACCGGTCACAAATGGGGCATACTCGGTGATTCAGCACTGACTCACGGTGTGAACCGGTCGCTGGAATGCAATAATTTCCTGAAGTCTAATTTAATTTTAAGCCCAACGATCTTTACGTAAAAGATGTAATATTTTGTAAGGATATTGCGGTCAGACGCTTTCCTTATCAGCAAGCGTATTTACCCGTATGCTAAGTGCCAAAGTATTTCTTTGTCTTTTGTAAATTAAATCGTCCTACCTAGTACCTTTATTTCTTTATCACAAAATATGTTTTGAAAAAGTTGTTCATGATTTAGCCCTGACTCCTAGCGTGAGAAACGCGTTAATTGGTCTCTAAATAAATCGCCTCTACACCATCGTTCGTATAGATTTATGTGAATATGAAATAAAGGACGTCCACAGGAAGTATTCTGAATCTATTACACATTCCTATGCAAGTAGACCATAACGACGATAAACTATTAAATATACTGGTAAATGTATTCAGAGAGATCAAATCAAGCAAAGGAAGCTGTTGTTATCCTTTATCTTGAATCGGCCCAGTTACCCTATCTGATAGTATGTGTTTGCGTTCTCTAATAACGGTATAGTCTCATTTACAATTATTATTACTGGTGTATTTGTTAGTGGGAACACTATCCACACAAAGTTTTCATGAAATATTCAATAGCCAATGATATTCAATAAGAAACGGTATATTCAAATGGTTCCGAACAACCGCTGGCTGGTTTTAATCCAGCATGAAATGGGGAATGTCTTTTTATGATTATTTGTTAGCGGCATCTTTTATTATTTTGAGCTGTGTCATGCATGATGCGATGTAAACGTTGATTGTTTTGGCTAATCCATCGTCTGTTCACATGTTAAGTTATTATAAATAACGCCTAAACTGCGGCTAGCCCTACATTATGCTAATTTTTGTTGACTGCCATAGAGTTCTATGATAAAGCTGTTCAATAGCAATAATAATTATCTAAACTTTGATTGGTTTTATCGTTAATCTGCTTTTAATGGTCATTTTCCCTTTTACTCTATTCGACAATCACCTGTCTCTGATAGCGTAATTTGGAGCCATCAATAATATCGTGATAGAGACAACAATATCTCGATTGTAAAGATTCAGGACTTTTTATTTCCGAATATAGGTTTTCTACCCCGACTAAACGCGCACTTCGGCCAAAGATACACGGTATCAGCGACAGAAGCACTATCAGAGTTCCAGAGGCTACAGTTGAACCAGCGAGCAGCACGAAACCAATTGGAAAGAGTTGTGGACTTGCAAGCTGGAAAAGGACAACCATGGGACTTGGTCGACAGATTTGTAAGTGAAGAAGATTGAAATTGGTCCTATTTTCATCCCATGAGGATAGTTTTTGTATCCTCTATTTGCAAAGCATGATGCTGGTTGATGGTACAAATTATTTAACATTTTGGACATGAACTGATGAGGAAGAGGCTTTGTGAGTGGAAGAATGGAAGAGTTGTAATGGGAGGAGATGAAAAAAGAAGAAAGGGTGCAAGAATACGATGTGGAAGTGAGATGAAGTTCAGATGGAGTTCGAAAATGCTAAAATCCAAGGAAAATGTCTAAAATTCTAAACACTTATATTTTTCTCCAGTCGGCGACGGCAGAATTTAAACTACCCTTAGTGGTAGTACGGCCAGAATGTGCAGGAATCCTACGAGACCTGCCAATGGATGAGGCAAAACTATCACCAGCTTCACATTCAGTCAGCCCTTACTTTATGGAGGACGGTCCAGAGAAGTTCATCAAGAAAGGTATGGAGATGATGGCATTCGTGCAACCATAGCGATATTTTCAGATGAAATACTTTTTGTGGAACACTTTATATAACTTAAAAAAAAATTGGTATCCATGGAGATGACGTTGTCAGATTGATAGTGATTTTTTAGCATTTTTACAATCAGTTTTTACAATTTATTTAAAATAGATGTCTTACGCAAAAATACACGCCTCGTTTGTCAGGACTCAGATTTGGGGGTATAATCCATCACAGTCAGTGCGTGAGTAGATAATAAGTTAAAACTTTGTCTTAGCAAACTATAACTTGGATCGAAGATCTGCGTAAGTAATATACTACTCTGTTTTCTATAGGTTTTGCGGGTCACGTGCCTTATGGTTTCCAACGCTTTGGCGAATCATCGAAGAAGCTCACGAACTCGGCTCTCTGCGACTTCTCCTCCAACTACAGGCGAAGGCAGAGCACAGAATGGGCACCAGTTAATGTAGTCAAGTAAGTAAATTATGCCAGATTTTTAAATAATCAAACGTTGATGAATAATAATTTTCGACTCGATGAAGCTGTATAATAGTTTCTGCTTTAGTCCGTTTCCTATTGATGAAACTAAACGTCATAACATGTGGCCGGCCAACTGTCAAATCTGTCATAGTGTAAAAAAGTTCGCACTTCGTCGTACAACGCGGATTTATTTTTGTGCGACTTAATTTCTCAATAAACATTAGCAAAATGAAGAAAAAACCTTTGTCGAATCTTTCCAAAGAGGAGCGGATGGTGATTGTGACATCCGAGCTCATACAAGAGCTGCTGGTGGCCCATCGCCAGGGCAGAGATGTTAACCTCAACAAAATGAAGACTAGGATTTCAGCTAAATACGGATTGGATTGTTCTCCGAGGCTGGTTGATATCATAGCTGCGGTACCTGCTGACGCTAAGAGCATTCTTTTACCCAAATTGAAAGCAAAACCTATACGTACAGCGTCAGGTATTGCCGTGGTTGCTGTTATGTGTAAGCCACACAGATGTCCGCACATAAACTTTACGGGGAACATTTGTGTGTATTGTCCCGGCGGTCCTGATTCTGACTTCGAGTACTCGACTCAGAGCTACACTGGGTACGAGCCGACGTCTATGAGAGCTATACGAGCGCGGTACAATCCTTACTTGCAAACTCGGCATAGAGTGGAGCAGCTAAAGCAATTGGGCCACAGCGTGGATAAAGTAGAGTTTATTGTGATGGGAGGCACTTTTATGAGTCTGCCTGAGGATTATAGGGACTATTTTATAAGGTAAATACATTTTTCCATTAAAAATTCTGAGCCTTATATAGGAACTACAGCTACTACATTGGAAAGTCGGTTTTTGAAGATTATCAGCGACTAAGAGCTACTCTAATTGTATTTATACTTATTTTTAGGAATCTCCATGATGCTCTATCAGGCCACACATCCAGCAGTGTGGCAGAGGCGGTGAAATACTCGGAAAGAGCGAAGACCAAATGCATCGGCATCACAATCGAAACCAGACCTGATTATTGTCTGCAGAGGCACATGAGTGACATGTTGAACTATGGGTGCACTAGGTATGTACTGAACTGTTTTAAATGTGTTTTTATCTGCCTTATAATAGAAAACACCCTTATTTACTCTACCTTGAAGGTAAAAGACTTGGAAATAGCATTTTGTCTTGACTACCTTGAATAAAAAGAAATACAGCTTTTGTTTCCACTTAAAGTCATGGACCTATAAAAAAAGTCGGACGGATTCTCATCAACAAAATACTGTGACATTAGGATACACCAGCTTGCCTGTACGTACAGGCCGGCTCGCACACATTCACACCCTGATACACCACTTCGAGTGCAAACTTCACACAGTTGACACATTTAAGCAGCGAAAAAACAACACGAATACGACATGTCTTGTGTGATGAAATTGTGTAAAAACCGTTCTGTTCGAACAAACAAAAATTAAGGAATCACATTTCACAGGCAAAATAATAATCCAATCACTTATTTTCCGACATTAAAATATTGAAATTAATTGAAATCAAACGTCATTCACTCGAAAAAATAATACGTCAAAGACCAGTGTTCTCAGTTATTTACGTGGGAAAATTACCCGAAATATGGGAAATTAATAATAATTTTAGGACTTTATAGTTATTTACTACGCATACTATGGAAATAAAATAATTTATCATAATAATTGTGTTTTAATGGGATATATTTTCATAGGCAAATTTGATCCTTCCCAAAAATGTGGAACTGCGAAATTCAAATTTTCTTACATTGATTGCAAGTCAGTGTCAGGTTGTATGTTAAAAAAAATCTATCAGAGATAATAATAATATATTGATGATGCATAAGATTATGATTATAATGTACACAAGATTCGTAATTTGTAACTGCGTGAATCATTTTTGATCAACATTATGTACATACCCTGACACACTGACTTGCAAACAATGTAAGAAAATTTGAACATTGAAAATTTCGCGCCTACCTCAACGCATTCACCTTTCATCCTTTTAAAATGGCACGGAATAATTCTGTCTACATTTCCAAGTAACATCTGCCGATCTATGTTTTTCTTAAAATAAATGGGTAAAATGTTTTGGCTAACATGGCATCCCTAAATTCACTCACACAATAGACAAACGCCAAAATTTTGCGTCACAGTTTTGTTGTAGCGCGAGTTCCGTCCGCCTTTTTTTATAGGTCCATGCTTAAAGTATTCTAATTCAAATTCTAATTGTCAAATCAAGTATAAACCCTTGATTCCTGCAAAAGCTGTCATAAAATTAAATAATGCAGGAATTGAAAAGCAATGATATTTTTCCAGCTTTATTTGTATTTCCCAGTTTTGTTTCACTTTCCCACAATAAATATCTATTGATTATTCAAATTCCAGGCTTGAAATTGGTGTGCAATCAGTGTATGAAGATATAGCCAGAGATACTAACAGAGGACACACTGTTAAAGCCGTTTGTGAGAATTTTAATTTAGCTAAGGACGCAGGATATAAGGTAACAATAGTAAAAAATCTTTTACCCATGTCACATCATTTCTTTTGCTGTCAACTTTCTGCTTAGTAAAGAAATGTGTGCCAGTTTATAACGTTAAAAATTAAACTTGCAGATTGTAGCACACATGATGCCAGATCTTCCCAATGTTGACTTTGAAAGAGACGTAGAACAATTCATTGAGTTCTTTGAAAACCCAGCGTTCAGAGCTGACGGTCTGAAGATATACCCCACTTTAGTAATCAGAGGCACAGGCTTGTATGAATTGTGGAAGACGGGAAGGTACAAAAGTTACCCGCCTTCTACATTGGTAGATCTGATCGCAAAGATATTGGCTTTGGTGCCCCCGTGGACTCGAGTCTACAGGTAAGATAAATGTTTACAAAATCTTATACAGTTTGTTTTTCATTATTATTTGTAAGACTCACTAAATAAAAGGAATTCAAACAAATTCCTTTTGCTTACAAGATATTGCATAGATCAAATTACTTGTAGGCCTAAGATGCGGGCCGCGATAAGCGTTTATTGCGACGCTTTATCGATTTAACGCGATAAGCCCATACATTTGTCGTCTAAAATCATCGATCTGGGGGCACGGCAGTGCCCCCACCAAGTCGAGCAAAAAAGCGGCACGGCCGTACCATCCTTTTCTCGAAGCAATTCAGGCCATTTTCGACTGCCTGTAACTTCGTTGTGGATAAAACTAGAAGGCTGAATTTTCATTACCTATGCAGGCATTGTAAAGACACGGTATATTTAAAATTTCATTCAATTTGAACCAGTAGTTTAAGAATTATAACGGGTCAAAGTTACGTAATTTTGTCACTCACTGACTGACTCACCGATCATCAAAATTCTAAGGCACTTCTAGCAGACCTAGAAGCTTCAAATTTGGAATATAAGTAGTGTTTGGTGTATGAATCAAGGAAAAACTAAAATATTTGGGGGCACGGTAGTGCAACCGCCAAATCGCGTAAAATTTTTCAATTTTGGTCCAGTTTTCTAGATACATAACTGCTGTCTACAAAATACAAAAAGAATGAGATTTGGGGGTACGGTAGTGCAACCGCCAAGTCGAGTAAAATTTTTCAATTTCGGTCCAGTTTTCTAGATACATAACTGCTGTCTACAAAATACAAAAAGAAATGAGATCCCATCAAAAACAATACTTGTCAAAAAAACCAAGTCTCGCAACTCAGTTGTTCTACGGTAAAAAGTTGTGAGATCCATGTAATACCAAGTCCAGGCCAGGCAATTTTTAACGTTTTACATAAATATATTGACTTGGCCATCGCATGAAAACACGTGTACCTAAATTAAATTATTTAGTGCGATGGCCAAGTCAATATATTTATGTAAAACGTTAAAAATTGCCTGGCCTGGACTTGGTATTACATGGATCTCACAACTTTTTACCGCAGAACAACTGAGTTGCGAGACTTGGGTTTTTTGACAAGTATTGTTTTTGATGGGATAAGATATTTATAGGCGCGCATTCGAGCCCGACTGAATGGCATATTGTGTTAACACAGATCACCAAGTTACAGAATTCATAAAAAAAAATGTAAGACTATTGATCCTGCTCAACTACTTAGAGTAGGCGCACACCGTTGATTTTTCGTCAGCAGATAGTTTAGTCGGGCAGTTGATCAGTATGGGCATGTATGGGAGTGCGCACACTAGGCTGATTCGATTTGGCCGATTCTTCATACAATTTAAAATCGGGCACAACTATCAGCCAACTAAAAATCAATGGTGTGCGCCTACTCTTACAGTTTCAAAAAGAAGTTAGTCTCTTCTAGTCATTCCTTAATACATTGTTCATACTTTCCTTTCAGGGTCCAACGTGACATTCCCATGCCCCTCGTCTCCTCCGGAGTAGACCATGGCAACTTGCGAGAGCTGGCTTTAGCACGCATGGCTGACTTAGGTACAGACTGTCGAGATGTGAGGACTAGGGAGGTCGGCATTCAGGAGATACATAACAAAGTCAGGCCGTATGAGGTAAGTTCAGTTTTTAATTGAGTTTTAATGTTGAATTATGGTGCCTGTAAGTGTAAGCCACTTCACATTAGGGCAGTGGTTCTTAACCGGTGGTCCGCGGACCACTGGTGGTCCCTGGAGACATTCCAAGTGGACCTCGAAGTGCACTTGCACAGCTTGGTTAAAAAAACTACTTTTCACTGATTTTTGCAGTCAATCTGGTTTTGACCGATTGTGAGACAAGACAGAAATTTGGCAAAATGGTCCCTCATGACTTAAAGGTTAAGAACCACTGCATTAGGGCGACAGCAGCGCGGCAGCGGCGTTTTTATAATGTGAAGGCATATAGCGTGAAATTATCGGTAGCGCGTCAGTCGCGCGTTTGTCGCGCTGCTAAAGTCGCCTAAATGTGAAGGCGCTCTAAGATACTGAAGTGGTCAGCAGTTTGTTAGAGAAGCTTTTAGAAATGACAGTGTCTTGTTTGTTACCTCACTTACCGCTCCGCTACCTCGCTCCGCTCTTGTAGACAGTCAGCCTTAGTATTTTTATAGCTACATTATCGAACTACCTGCAATGCCCACAGCTGCTACCATTAAACTGTATGTTAACTTTTTATTGCATTTCAGGTGGAATTAATCAGGCGCGACTACACAGCTAACGGTGGTTGGGAGACTTTCCTATCATACGAAGATCCCGACCAAGATATCTTAGTCGGTCTTCTGCGCCTACGCAAATGCGCCAAGGACACATACCGTCCCGAATTGAAGCCCGGACCGGATTCTAACTTTAAACAGTGCAGCGTTGTGAGAGAACTGCACGTTTACGGTTCTGTGGTTCCTGTAAGTATGGTTTTTTAATTATAACACGAATTAAGCTAAATTGCATATACTCGTACATAGCTATATCGCTACATACACTTTGAGATTTGGTAATTTAAGTTATAGATCGTTTTATCCACGAAAACGCGCCCCACCAATTTTTGGTCGAGGGAAGCGCGAGGTGCGGGGAGTTAGATCCGAGCAATCCGAGCGTCATTATTGTAGTGTGCGTGTGCACTCATGGATGACTTAGCGTGTACCATTAAGACTCAAATTAGCGGAAGAATAGTGGGGCGCATCTTCGTGGATGAAACGATCGGGTCTGGCTCAGAATATACACCTCACCAAATGCGCACTTTTCCATACTAATTTCAAGCTGAAGTGTTTGTATAATATCTGTTAATATTTTCAGGTAAACGCCCGAGACCCCACTAAGTTCCAACACCAAGGTTTCGGAATGTTGCTAATGGAGGAAGCCGAGAGAATAGCGCGCGAAGAACACGGCTCAGACAAGATGGCCGTCATATCTGGCGTCGGCACTAGGAATTACTACGCGAAGATTGGATATCACTTGGAGGGACCGTATATGGTCAAGATGTTGTGAATTGATGTGAAGAATTCAAGAAAATGAAATAATTGGGTAGTTTATGTTGTTAACCAGTGATTACAATATTAAAAACGATTTACTTAACATTATGAAGAAATGGATTGATATTCCAATAATGATTTGAGATGAACAAAACGATTGATGTTTAATTAGTGCCATCACAGGTTGCAATCTAAGGATAAACGTTTATTATATTAAAATAAATATGAATAAGTAGACGTTTGGATTTGAAAATTATGCTGTTTGACAATTTCCTTCAACTTTCAATTCATGTATAGTTCCAAAATACTGGACTGTCCTGTCGATGACATTGACAGTGGGGCGCCACCGTCAATACCGGATCGCTGGTTCAGATTTTTGCCATGTTGGAAACCATATAGTTGAACGATGGTAGCGCCCCCCTGTCATTGAGTTTGGTGGGACAGTTCAGCGTGGGTCATCTATAATCGTTACCGTGCAATAAAGAATAAAATTCTTTAAAGAATGGAAGTTTTTTTTGTTATCCCATTTTTTGCAGATCTTAAAACAGAAAAGATGAAGTGTGAAGATTTTATTATCAAGGTAGAAGAGAATAGCAGCAATGTTATGAAGTCTTAGCTAGTAGACTAGTAATATTGTTTCACAAAACAGCCAATATCTTTTTCGATTTATTAGATAGCTTTTTGAGGGCGTCACGAATAATACCTAAATTGTCTACGTACAGTCAGGTATTAGACTCCAATATGCATACCATTGTGTTAGAGACATTGCATCACTGTCTTGTATTACGATCTAGGACCATTCCCCTTCCTCTCAGATCTCTCTCCTTACTTACGTCTGATCCCCTCCCGTTGACTGATGAGATCCAGTGCCGTAACTAGCCTTTTAGGCGCCCGGTGCGAGAAATATAAAAAAATGTAACCTTTTTGAATAAAAAGTAACCTTCTACGGGGGGGGGGGGTTGCAGAGCGTGCATGAATCATTTCTGCGCCCCTCCAGGGTCTGCGCCCTGTGCCTGGGCACCGCTGGCACCGCCCTAGTTACGGCACTGATGAGATCCCCTCCCGTTGACTAATCCCCTCCCCTTTACTGATCCCTTCCCCTTGCTAATCCCGTTCCCCTTCCAGGCCCGATCCGCCGCTGTCGATCAACCCCACCGAGCTGTATCACAAACACGTGGGGATGCTACCGAACTACGCGGGACACGTGCCTGGCGCCATGTTCAGGTAAGATTGTAATGAGCGACCAACTTAGTGAAAAAGTGACGTCATTGCTGTCTTGCCATACTAGGTAGGGCCGCGTTTTGACAGCTCATGAAAACTACCCACATTTTTTTTTTAAGTGAGCACTATGCGTATATTAGGCCATCTACTAGATGTACCGACGATCTGGTGAATGTTGTGCGAGGTGCCTGGATGAGGACGGCGCAGAACCGGTTTTGGAATTTCTTGGGGGAGGCCTTTGTCCAGCAGTGGACGTCATTTGGCCGACACGAACGAACTATGCGTTATTTGTGATTTTGCTATGCATATTTTCATTTTGAGCAGCAATCTTTTTTTTAGGTCAAATGTCTATCAGAGTAGTCACGTTGCAACAGTACCACTAATTAAGGTACTTAATTAAGCTCTCCTCATTTTAATGACATCCTGAGACTGTTAATTTAAATAAGTACTGAAAAGTTTATCATATTAGTGATTAATTAATCATAAATCATTGCAGATTTGGGAAAACATACGGGAACGACACTCGGGATGCTAAGCGGTGGCTTCGCGGTGATTTCGCTTGAAATTGGAAAGCAGCTGTCATTTGTCACATTATTCTTCGATGATCACGAAAATCAAGAGTGGTTACTCCTATTTGTACGAACAAATCGACTACCCACTATTTTGATACGAATTATACACAATGTTTAACAAAATAACTTTTTTATTTTTATACAAGTAGATATAAACGTATAAACAATTCATAGCCTCGGTTTTAGAGACAAATAGCAACCAAAACCATAGATATTTAACCATAGATTCTATGACGGTAATCAGGATTGGGCAATAATATCTTCACTTTTTATTATCGATACTTGAGACTATACAAATGCAATTGTATTCTACATAATATCACAGATGACACTTCTAAATGTTGATTAAAATGCGTTCACCTGATCACCGAATTATATACCGTACCAAGTACGTATTATAATTAATCACAATATACAAATTATATCACAATTTACACGTTATACTTAATTTTACTTCTTCTTGGCGTTCCATTCACGCATAAGCTTGTCTGTCAACGCGAGGTTTTCGTCTTTCTGCAAAAAATAAAAGAAGACTATTATGAGCCTATGTCTTTTGCCTCCGGCCTTAAAATCTGGGGTAGTCTGACTTTAAGCTCTCTCGAATCTAGAAACTAGACTTAATAAGAAGTGTAAAGTTGAAGATTAAGGGTCCAATCCACCGGATCTGATAGTTTCAGATAACTGTATCACATTGCTGATTAGATTACTGGTGACTATCTGCTAGATATCTCTTTGAAACCAAAAGTTGTAGTTTAACTGACGTCCAATAGCCATTGTGTGCTCGCTAGCGAGTGCGTCAAATCTATGAAGATTTTAGTTTTTGAAAGTAGCCGCTAGGGCGCTGCACAATTTGTCATACATTTGATGTTATTTTTTACACACTCGCTAACGAGCACACCTAATGTTAACTCATGGTAAGCACTCTGGCCTCCTAGACAAAGTTACAAACGTGATAGCTGTAAATCCGAAATCGCTATTTGTACGTTGTCAATTCGCTCCGTGAAGCAATTTCAAAATTAAAAGTGCCACGATTGTTACTTTGCCAACACCCTCAGGGATTTTAAGTGGTAAAACAGGTCCCAAATCACTCTTATATCTCTATGCTCCAGCTCACCTTGATGAAGCAGAACCTAGCGTAGTTCTCTCCAAGATGCTTGTGTGCCTCCGAGTAGAAGGCGGTGGGAGGTATCGCGAGCACTCCCGCCTCTTTGGCGAACTTCTTCGTGAACTGGTAGTCTTTGTACTTGTCCTTCTCGGTTGAGAGGTCGATCTTCTTTGCTGTGGATGAAGAGGAATGTTTGAACCATAAATTTGAGGGCTTCATGAAATACTTAATTGGAAATTATAAATAACTTCAAAAAATCGATCGAACCCACGACTGCTCTTCCATCTGCATGAACCCGTCAAAATTTTCTATGGCCAGTGTTTGTTTGATCAAATTCGGTTAATATGTATGAAGAATCACGTTTTGTATAAAAGTCTGTCAATGGATGATGATTTTCGACAATCATAAGAAGTCACATTCCTTGCAAAAATGCCTTTGTTCCATGACCCTACTCTACAGTAGCGCTATTCTGATAAGTGCAAATGTGATAGTCCTACTGCTTCAGCCAGCATTCACCAGTTGGCGCTACTGTCTTCGCCATTAGCAAGTGACAGTGACCTTATTCTAGAGTGGCACCATGTGGGCACTAAAACGATAGCCCTCATTGCCATCTTACCCAGATAATTCAAGTCAGCCACTACGTAGTATCCTTCCTCTTGTAGCAGTCAAGCTAGCTCGTACAAGGAAATTACTCACAAAAAGACCATTTGATTTGACTCAACTCACCTAGGTCAACTCATCTGGTGAAGGTCGCGGGGGGTGCCTGGATGTGGGTGGCGCAGGACCGGTCTTTGTGGAAATCTATTCGGAGGCCTTTGTCCAGCAGTGGACGTCCTATTTCTGAAATGATGATGAACTCACCCAGTTTAGTCCAGTCGGCCACCACGAAGTGAGAACAGGTAGCAATCTAGTCTTGTAGCTAGCTAGCTCGTGCAAGGAAATTACTCCCAAAAAGAACATTTTCAACTTACCAAGTTTAGTCCAGTCGGCCACAACGAAGTAGCCTCCTTCGGGCACGGTGGGGTTGAACCCGTTCTCTCGCAGGGTCTTGACGAGCGCGTCCCTCTTTGGCAATAATTCACGGGCGAGCGAGAACAGGTAGCAGTCGGGAGTGTTGTATCTGGCTAGCTCGTATTCGAAGGAACGGGCTACGGCTTCCTGGAAATAAGAAAGATCTAGTCACCAGTAGTTTTTAGGCAATAAAGATGTAGTGAAAAGCGTGGAAGGGGAAATGGAACTAATGCCGCCTGCATAAAGGACGTCGCACATTTATCAAACCGGAAAGGGATCGTAACCGTATTAACTCGAGACAGTCAGTATTCAGACAGCAAGAAACTATACTTATCCGCACCGTAAGGTAAATAGCTCGCTCTAGGCGATGACAGCCCTCGAAAGGAGATACGGTGTTGATCCCTTTCCGAGTTTATAAGTCTGCTATGAGCTTTATGCCCGTTTTCACCATCAATCCCAAATTTTTAAGTTACCCTTACGGTAACATATGGGTCACTTAAAAATTAGGGAATATTGGTGAAAACAGGCATTAATCTCACAGTTGAGTGATGCACTTTCACAGACGTGACGAACGTATACACGTAGTTTTGGTGCAAGACATGCAGGTGGCGCACAAGAACTTCGAGTCCATACGCTCGGCCCCAAACAAATATGGACCTATTTCCGAGGTGATAAGGTGCACAATTGAGTGACGCATTTGCACAGGTATGATGCACATATACGCCACTTGTAGATGGCGCATGAGTGCGGTGGGCCCGTAGGCGAATATGGACCTACAGCCGCGGACATAAGGCTCGCTTTTGAATGACGTACCTGTATAGTTCTGGTGAACGACTTGTAGATGGCGCATGAGTGATACAGCTCCATTCAAGCAAATATAGACCTAGAGCAGTATGAATAAGGTGCACAATCGAATGACTCACCTGTATAGGCGTGACGCAGGTATGATGGATGGCGATGGATCATGAGTGCGGCGGGCCCGTACACCATTCACAAGCGAAAAAGGATCTTGCGCCACGGATATAAAGCACACAATTGAATGACGCATCTGTATAGGCGTGACGCAGGTATACACAGTTCTGATGCACGACTTGTAGATGGCGCATGAGTGCGGTAGGCCCGTATGCCCAACCACAAGCGAATATAAACCTAGATCCAACATGATAAGGTGCACAGTTGGTTGATAAGTGTGACGCAGGTGTACACGCAGTTTTGATGCACGACTTGTAGATGGCGCATGAGTGCGGCGGGCCCGTACATCAGTCACAAGCGAAAAAGGATCTTGCGCCGCGGATATAAAGCACACAATTGAATGACGCACCTGTATAGGCGTGACGCAGGTATACACGCAGTTTTGGTGAACAACTTGTAGATGGCGCAAGACTACGCCCGGCTAGAAACGAATAGGAATCTTGCGCCGCGGATATAAAGCACACAATGAGGGCTATCGTTTTAGCGCTCACCAGTTGGCGCCACTGTAGAGTAAGGTCCTGTCACTTGCTAGTCGCGAAGACAGTGGCGCCAACTTGTGAGCGCTAAAGTGGTAGGAGGACTATCGCATTTGCACTCATTAAGATGGCGCCACTGTAGAGTAAGGTCCTGTCAATCGCCAGGGGTGCCAACTGTTAAGTATAATAATAATTAACTTTTAAAAAAAATAAAACCGACTTCAAATGCGTGAACACAAAAAAAAACTAAAAATTAAAAATATTGCGTATAAAAAAGTTCATCTCCAATTTTCCACCCTTGGGGATGAAATATTTTCTTCAAATTCGCATGAAACCACCCTTTTGATAATACCTATTCAATAAAAAAATAATCGTTCAAATTGATTTATAATCGGCGGAGATATTGCGTATAAAAAAGTTCATCCCCAATTTTCCACCCTTGGGGGTTGTTTTTTCTATTATTAAATTTAAATGGGACCACCCTTGAGGTATTACCTATACGCCGAAAAAAGATTTGTTCAAATCGGTTCATAATTGGCGGAGTTATCGCGTAACAAACATAGAAAAAAAAAAAACATACGGGTCGAATTGAGAACCTCCTCCTTTTTTGAAGTCGGTTGAAAACGATAGCCCTCATTGAATGACGCACCTGTATAGGCGTGGCGCAAGTATACACGCAGTTTTGATGCACAACTTGTAGATGGCGCATCAGTGCGGCGGGCCCGTACGCCCATCCGATCTTCCATCCAGTCACTGAGAACGTCTTGCCGGCGGAACCCACTGTGATCGTACGCTCCCACATGCCGGGTAGGGTCGCTGGAAATAGTTAAGTAGTTAATAAGGGTATTTTGATTATCGTGCGTAGTCCACTCATTACTATAATAAACAATATTAAAAACATCCTAAGCTATTAACGATTGTTTAACGAAACTACGGTAGTGAAGGTATGACTGATTAATGGTCACCAGATTTCAGAGTTGTACTGTGACAGCTCTGTCAACGCTATACCTCGTCACATCATCGTCGTGTGACGTCACGTTATCCATAATCAGTGAGTAGTGCGAGTGTAAACGTGATATGCATTTGAAAATTATAAATAACTTGAAAAAATCGAACTGCCTAAGGCGGGAATTGAACCCACGACCTTCCCTTGCCGGGCAACTGCTCTTCCAACTGAGCTACTTAGATACTGGATGAATCAGTCTGATGGATAGGTTTGAGATGCGACTCTTAACGCTAAAAATTTAATAACTGTGATTAGTCCAGTCATTTCGTCCGAAAAAAAGGCAAATAAAAGAAAATGAATTTGCGCTTCTAATTTTTTAATATGTTGTAGGGGATACCTAGAAAAGCTTAACTTGAGATTGTCGACCAAGCTTTCCTAGGAGCTTTCGCCGCCATCTTGGAAAACGCTTAAAATTTGTTTTTCGGCAATAACTCGGCTATCCGATGAGATTCGAAAATTTTTGTAGGACACTTTTTGTAGCTTTCTTTGTGCTCTACAATAACGCCCGAACCATTTTTAGCGTATCATGCATCGTTATCGAGATATCGATCGATAAAGTCAAAAATTTTGGACACAATTTTTGTTTTTTTCTTTTTTTTTCTTTGGGTCTTAATAAATATGAAAAATTCCGAAATAATTAAATAATTAATTAAAAAGTAAAAAGTAAAATTTAATTACTTTTAATTACTTTTTAATTACTTTTTTTTAAGTAACGGCAAAGCATTTGTATTAGTTGGTTCTTGTTTTGATCCCTTGTGAGAAACTTCTCCTGGCTAACTTTTGGAGTAGTTGTCTCATCGAATGTGAACTCCGGCGATTGGTTTTTTCTCGAACGTCGTACTCTTTCCGAAGTTTTCGTTCCAGCGAGTGTCATATCAGTCGGATAACCGTCGAATATGATTGCAACCTTTCCTTCGAAGTTATGTTGTACGTATCTGACGTTAATTATTTAATTATTCCGAAATAATTTGTGTCCAAAATTTTTGACTTTATCGATCGATATCTCGATAACGATGCATGATACGCTAAAAATGGTTCGGGCGTTATTGTAGAGCACAAAGAAAGCTACAAAAAGTGTCCTACAAAAATTTTCGAGTCTCATCGGATAGCCGAGTTATTGCCGAAAAACAAATTTTACCCCTTTTTTCAACATGGCGGCGAAAGCTCCTAGGAAAGTTTGGTCGACAATCTCAAGTTAAGCTTTTCTAGGCATCCCCTACAACATATTAAAAAATTAGAAGCGCAAATTCATTTTCTTTTTTGAATGTACGTAATGACTGGACTAGATATGCATTGTCTTATTATTACAACACGAGTCTTTGCGCCGAGTTATGTTAAAGTTAGTCGGTAAATGACCTGAAAAACTTAACTAAAAGTATGTACAGTCGCGGAATGAAAAGGTTCATCACCTTAGTGTCGGTTTTCGCTTGCACTGGGTACTGTAAGAGTCAAACCTGCCAACATAACAGTGCAAGAAACAGTGCTGCTAACATAAATAAATATGACGTTTGCTAACGAATAAGGTTTTGCTTGTTTATTTTTCTATCCCATCAGTGCAATGCAATAATGACTTTGACCAATTGACAATAGTTTTTTTATTTAATAGAAATAATAATGGCAGGTTGAACCAACAAGAAGGTTTTAGTTTATCAATCATTATAATCTTCTTGACAAGATAAATCTTCAAACAACTTTGATCTGAATAATTTTGAACTTTACTGACGAACAGTTAAAGATTATTTTCTCTAACTCGAGATTATTCTGTAACATAGTTTCAAAAGGTAATATTATGTGCTCACGATTCGTTGAAGGAATCAATTTGAAAACTGACGAACCTTTTCATTCCGCGACTGTACATGATAAAAAATAAAAACTCACCTATCCTAACATGCTTCTGGGGCTCATACACCATCCACTCATACACCTCGTCGGACAAGCACAGCACATTGTGTTTCTTGCACAGATTCGCTATCACCTCCAATTCGCTGCGAGTGAACACTTTTCCAAGCGGATTGTGGGGGGTGTTCAATATCAACATTTTGGTTTTCGGACCGAAAAGTGACGTCAGCTCTTTCTCGTCTAGCACCCAGTCTGCTGACGTCATGTTTGGGGAGTTTGTTTTCTGGAAGAAGGAAATAGTTTTTACAATAAGAAAAAAAAAGTGACTTGGAGTACGAGAATTACTATGAGAGAGTATAGAAGTTGTTCAGGTTAAAGGTCATAGCACACTTATCAACCCAGAAAGGCAGGAACCTTTTCCGCGAGGTGAGGCGTTTACGTTACGGTACGGATAAGTATGCGTTGCAGTACGGAGTTTCATACAAATAATACTGACTGCCTCGAGTTGATAAGTTTACGATCCGTTTCCAGATTGATAAGTGTGATTCATCCTTTATGACCCAATGTATACTTAAAGATAAATAAAAATAAATAAAATAAAAATACTTGTATACTTGTAATTAAAGCCACTTCATGAATTCTGATGACAATGCAATATAATGATATCATAGAGCTAATTTGATAGTAGATCCGTAAGGTGGAAAAAGCCATAGGAACTCTATGAAAAAACGATGCACCTCGTTAATGAAGGCTCTTACGTTATAGACCAGGTACAAGTTTTTTTAAATGTTTTTACAGTAGGTATAATACTCACAGGCTTCAAAGCAATAAACTTGCTGACGCCTCCAGCGAATTTAATCATGTAGTCATAGCAGTCGAAGTATGGCTCGATCACTATTACCTCATCACCCTTGTCCACGTGACCTGGAATTTAAAACTTCATATTAATCAGAATTTTAAGGACGACCGTTTTAAAAATGTTCTCTCATTTGTTTAAATAAAAGACGCCCACTGCTGAACAAAGGCGTGATTAATTTCGTTGCGGGCCCAATGACAGTTCATCTTTCCCCCGGGACAAACTTGGCCTTCACTGGTTGATTTTTATTGGCGGTCAAGCTGTAGATCCTGGCTACACAGAAATTGCAGCGATGGTAACGAGTGTTGGGAATAGTCGCGTGGTTGAAAAAAGACTCCCAAGTATTTCGACAACGATCGGTCCTGCGCTGCCCGCATCCAGGTGCTTGCCGCTTCAGAAATCAAATTCAATTTAGGAGGTAAGGCCTTTTCAGATCTTTATTATCCGTCGCCACTTGCCATCACTTCAGGACAACTTAATGTTGAGAAGAAGTGGTGGAATAAATTCAGTATTATGATAACTGTACGGAAATATTTCCAAACCTAATATCGCAGAGAACAGTGCTTCGTAAGCTCCACTACTGACTAGTATTTCATTTAGTGGATCTATCTGTCTGCCAATGAGTGGTGAGTATACCTTTGACAGGTTCTGAACCAGTCTTGGATGGCCCTGAAAAGAAAGATAGATATTATACAAACTATAGTCTGGTCTGCGAGCACATAGAATTTTGTCCAATGACCCCAAGGTACCTATCCTTATCGCTCGCGCGTAATTATAGTATTGCTGTCGCGACTGTGCGACGGGCGCCCGCAGTGAGTGTGCGAGCGCGACAGCAACATAATTACGCGCGAGCGATAAGAATGGGTAGCTTGGGGTCATTGGACAAAATTCTACGTGCTCACAGACCGGGCTTTAGTAGAATATAAGGTATTCTAGGCCATCATAGTCTATCACATCGCGGTTAGTCTCTCTGTTCTTTTAGTCTATCTATAAATTGCTGTGAAGGGATGGTTTTTACGTCCAGCATCTAAATCAGTTAGGTGATCTTCAAAATCTCTTAAGCAAATTACAAGGAAATTGAAAATGGTACAATAAGTTGTTCAAGGATCTTATCTTGCTTGCTCTAGTAGAAATTAGATCTAATGAAGACAAAACAAATACAAAATGCCTTATCTATGTAGAATATTGCTTCATTATTATGCAAATGTGTTTAAGTAGTTCATCACATTTGAAAGCTAATTATCACACTTGAATAATATTCTTGTTACTATCTTGTTAGTCTAGGCGCAGACCACGGATTTTTAATTGGCCGATATTTGGGCCCGATTCTAATTAGTATGAAGAATCGGCCGATACCAAATCGGTGTATTGTGCGCACTTCCATACATGCCCATACTGATTAACTGCCCGACTAAACTATCGGCCGACGAAAAATCGGTGGTCTACGTCTAGGCGTAGACCTTAATTTAAAACAAAGTTATTCCTGCCACGCCTAGATAAGTGGCAAAACGTGACAATTATAATTTCTAAGCCATCGTTCTAAAGTTTTTTGTATGGAGTTAATACTTCATTTTGTGGAGGGATTCCATTTACAGATTGATTAATTTCAATAACCTCCCCTGTGCTGGTTGGAATTGCCCATTTAATGAATATTAATAAGTTTTGGTCCACTTACAAAGCCTCTCGTATACTGGTTGAGCAGGCAATTATCGCCAGTGGCAATTTCTGCCAACGCCTTGGTAACATGCTCCGGTGGAGGGTAGTCAGGGAACCCTTGCCCGAGATTCGCCGCTGGCTTGTACTCAGCTGCCAATTGGATGTATTCAACCCTGCAAATGAATGATAAAATCATATGTTTTATTATAAGGTGTTTATTTACGAGATCGAATCAGAAATGAGAAGATCCGTAAACGAACTAAGGTCATTGACATAGCCCGACGGATTAGCAAGGTGAAGTGGCAGTGGGCAGGGCACATAGTACGCAGAACTGACGGCCGATGGGGCAACAAGATTCTGGAATGGAGGCCGCGTACCGGAAAACGCAGTGTGGGACGTCCATCCACAAGGTGGACCGACGGCCTGATAAAGGTAGCAGGAAGGCGCTGGATGCAGGCCACTACCAACTGTGCGATGTGGAAGTCATTGGGGGAGACCTATGTTCAGCAGTGGACATCCTATGGCTGAAATGATGTTGATGATTATCATAGCTATTAGGTACTATAATTGAAAATGTTACTAGGTGTGCAAAATCACTTGAAACCTTTACAGAATACAAAAAGCTAAAAAACAAAATTAGTGAACATTCTTCATTAATTGAATTAATCAATTTGTTAAGATAGTGTGCCATGTTTTGAGGTAAACAACAGATAAAATAAAACAATAAGATATTTTTTCAGAATATCTGCTTTTTTTAGACTGTGTTTTATCATCCTTGATAAGTTGCAATTGAACATGTTTTCAATGAATCTTTGTAATTTAAAAAATATTATAATTATCAAGACAGCTGTTGGTTCATAAGATGTTATCTCAGTTATAAAAATAATGATTAGAGTTAGAATGTAGTGTGCTACATTACAAAATGGTATCTTAGGGCATAAGGTTATCACCAGGAACTGTTTCTGTTGTAAATAAATTGTAACGGAATGACTGAGTATGCAGTAAATTACTAAACTAAAAATGTGGATAAGTAGGTACTTAACCATTTTAAGTTTTCCAAATTTTAACTACAAAATAACTACAAAATATGTTACAAAAGAAAATGAAGTGGCACTCTAGGGAAAGTTAAATAATGTTACAAAGTGCTAATATTTCATACCTTTTATTATTATTTGTTAATAACTTTATTTAGGCACCCATCTACGTAAATATTTTCAATCTGCTAATCTATTTTTATTCCGAAATTTTTAATAAATAATTAACAGAAAAATTATAAATACAAAATACAAAACAAACAATTTAAAATAAATGCATACTTAGTTCTAAGCATAGTTAGTTAAAATTATAATAATTCATTTCCTTGGTTGTCCTAATAAATAAAATTGCTCTACAAAACAAGGATAATTGGTTATGTAATCTTCATGCACTTCACAGTTCATTTATCATACATCCCATGAGCCGTGGCAATAAACTCCGGCTATAGTTACGCAACGAACATGTAAATAAAACTTACCACACACTTTTTTCGCCGGTTCCAAACCGACTGGGTAGCTTGAACTTGTCTCCCATAGTTGATGCACTTCTGCTCTGACTTATCGCTATTTCCTTTAAGTTTAGATGCCGCAATGCACTATTGCTGCCTTTAACAACCGCGAACAAGGTTTGTCTCCAACTAAACATTATAAAACAGTACAGTAGTATTAAAGTCAATTGCACGAACTTAACCTATATTGACTGAGGAAAATTATCATCGAGCACTGATAAAGACCAAAGCAAAGATGTAAAGCGACGTCACGGCGCTATCAGTTTATTTATATTCAACATTACCTAGTAAAAACTGGTGTTTTATGTAAATAGATTCGCATTTAGATTATTTTGATCACGTCAAAAAAAAATACTGACAGCAAGCAAAACAGCTGGTTGACGTTGACAGAACAGTGCCACGTTCGTAAACTGAGTCGTTTGGCCAAATTAAGTTATGATAAAATAATTTCTTTACAGTAATTAGTTTCAGATAACAATACAAACAAATGGTTCAAGTAAATTATGTGTACCAGTCCACTATTAAGTTCAAACTCCGTAAATAAAGAGACATTAAAATAAAGTATGAAATAAAGGTTGGACCCAGCCCAGAGGCCCAGAGAAGTTTTTGGAGGAAAAAAAAATTATTTGATTGACACTTGTTTGACATTGACAGCCACTCTATAAAAATTGTTTTGTTTTTGTTTCGGAATTAATTTACGAAAACAAAGAAATAAATAGGCAGGTAATTATTTTTAACTCATTACAATAATTTAAACGACTACTAAGAAATAAAATGTTTGTGATTTTATTGTTTTAGATACTGAATTAGTGCAAAAATGACCAACTGCGTACTGCGATATTGCAGTAATAATATTAAAACAAACAACAAATCTTCAGACGGCGTAACTTTTCATAAGTAAGTTAAATCTAGGAATGGTAATGCATAATAACAAAAGATAGAAGTCTTACTATTTTGGCACTAATAAAACTAAAACTAGAGTAGTACATTTTACAGGAAAATGATTTAGTATCACTCTTCTTATATTACATATTTCTTTTATAGACTCCCTCACCCTGGAAACAGTAAACGAGACGAATGGATACAATTCATCCAAAAAAATAGAAGTGAAAAAGATTGGGTACCTAAACATACATCAATTTGTTCCAAACACTTCCGGGAAGAAGATTATTATTTCACCAAAACTGGACGAAAATATCTTAAAAAAAATGCTATGCCATATGAAAACCCTGAAAGCAACCAGTCCTCTGAAAACCCTGAACACAACCAGCGCCCACTACCTCCTACAAAACCTGTATATGTTTCAGACACAGGGCATGGAATCGCCGCGCTGCCCGCTCGGCGCGCGGCGATTTCGTGCTCTGTGGTTTCAGATTTAGAATGTGCAAAGGAGATACCAGGAAACATTAAATTAAAAAAAGAATTATTCAAAGTCACAGCCGATAAAAACGAATTAATTAAAAAAAATATAAAATTAAGACGACTGTATGACTGATGTAGACATCTTAAATCAAGAAACCTGAAATTGCAGGAAATAATAAGGAGTTTGCAATCAAATTACCCTCTAGAACGTTTTGTTGAAATTAATGAAGAAGATATGGATATAGATGAAATTGATTGAAGAGTAAATTAATTAAGAAGTAATGAATGAAAAAGAAATTTTATAGCAAGCTCCAGTTGTGGATTAATAACTAAGTAATAGTTAATACCACAATGATTTAAGATGATCTAAGTAAAAATGATACAAGATATTTATTAGAAAGAAATAACCTGTTGAAAGCCTGTGAATTTGCAAGAAATATAGTTAGAATAGTGTGGGTACTAACTTAACTTCTAATTTTTACCAAGGTACTTTAATATTTGAAGTTGTTATTATATTATTTGTAAACTTTTATTTTCTGTTGTTTGTTATTTTATCTCATAATTATTAAAAACCATAAACAGAAGTTTTTTTTTTATTTTTAGCCTTTCCTATACAAAAAAAAATAGGTGAGAATTAACAAGACAAACCTGTGTGTGACAACAGACAAAAGAGGACCAATACGTGCCAACTCGCATCTTTAGAGGTGCGAGATGACGAATAACTCAAAGCCTGGGTATGTGTTATTCTGGGTTATATTAACAATAATACTGTATAGTTTCATCAAAATCCGTTCAGTAGTTTTTGTGTGGAAGAGTAACAAACATGTTGACATCCAGACATCCGTACAAACTTTCGCATTTATAATATTAGTAGGACAAAGTTAGCAGCACAACACAACTGTGTGTAGTCCCATTTCATTTTCATCACGCTACGTTTTTTCATGCGCTTAAGAGCGTTGTCACATTTTTCATGCAGAAATCGAGAATTTGGCAGATTTCGAAATGATTTTAGTCATATAATTTATTGTTATAGCTTCTTTTCACTTATATCATCGTAATTATCATACGTTTTTACGGAATGTCTATTGACAAAATCTCGTTCAAATTGGATTTTTGCCTACGAAAACAGCGAATTTCGAAAGCCCGATTTCCAGGTAACTCGCGAAGGCACAACTTTGAACTAATATTACAACAAATTTATTTCTAAGTGAGTATTTCTCAAAAAAAATGTACATTTTGAAAAAAAAAAGTGTGCTTTGAAACAGTTCAAAACTTTTATATTTATAAATCATCACACAAAAAAAACACACACACAATTTTGAAGGATGAATATTAATCTTTAAGATAACGAAGAATTATAGCTATAATCCTACTTATTACCAAATATTTAGATATTTTAAAAATAGTCCTTTTTTACCTTTCATACAAAAATCTGTTTGCCACCCTAGCTTTTTCATGTGTTTTTGTTTCATAAAATGCGATACGTAACTAAATTATTGTAAATTTCTTTGTATTATCGTTCTACAGTAATCGCAGTTTCTGTATCAAATTGATTTTCTATGGGGTGTCATAATGAATTGGCAATTTAAAGCAAAAAAACAAAATGAGTCGCTCTCATTTACTATTTCGTTATTTACTCTTTAGGTACGATTTATTTCTACTTTCCCATGGTTTCTGAACAATTCCGTATTTATTTTACACGGACAACAATAGCTGCACTCTGAATGGCTGTTGACCTGACGTCTCCGCCATAACATCTATCGCGAAAATTAGTGAAAACGTGTGTGTTTTGTGGGATTACTTTTTCGTAACAGGCAGTAAAATCAGCGATTTTATATAGAACGGTAAGTCTTCATTTAACCATTTTTTGTAATACGTGTGGTACGAACATTTAGTAAGCTTTTATATTTGCTGTAACAAATTTTATAAATAAAGAATGTTTGACTTCGACTTTAATAATTATGCTCTTACATAATTATAAATAAACTACACTCGCGAGCAAAAGTATGGAATCACTTACATGAAGTTGTTGTCACAACTTCATGTAAGTGATTCCATACTTTTGCTCGCGAGTGTATCTTTCCGCCCGCCGCTTCGCCCGCGTGGAATTTTTTGGTTTTTATATAACTTATTACACTCAGATATAATGTGGCTTTCTATTGTTGAAAGATTTTTTAAAATCAGTTCAGTAGATCCCGAGATTACCCCTTACAATTTAACAAATATACAAACACACAAACTTTACCTCTTTATAATATTAGATTATAGATAGGTAATTTGAAACCCTATTTTGTTTTATTCTTTATTTTATTTTAAATATTTCACGATCCAAACTAATATTTACTGTAAGTAAATGCTAAATAGTAAATATTAGTTTGGATTGTGAAATATCCTACTAATATTATAAAGGCGAAAGTTTGGATGTCTGGATGTCATGATGTCTGGATGTTTGTTACTCTTTCACGCAAAAACTATT